CCTTGCCGCTAGGCCTAAAATAATAGTTTCCATTTTAGTTCCCACTACTCCAATATAACCCCAATATAACCCCAGAAAAGTGGACACTCTTTGATCCAAAACCACTCCCCACCTCACTTCGCCGAAGCAGCCACTAGCAGTCAAATTGGGTTTCCCAAGGTTTCTGGTACCTTTTGGGGGGCCCGCTTGGACACTCCATTGCAGCGGTTTAGGGTTTAGGGCTGCAGAAGCCCCAGGGGTCAGCAATCTTTGTGAAATCCTGTCCTTTCACACAGCAGGTGGTTGTCTCTGGATCTAATTATGCCCACGCTTCCCGCGGAAATCTTCGAGAAGAAGAGTGACCTCGGAGAAGGCGCCAAAAGTAGTGTAACTTACTGGCCCCTAGTAGGGAATCAGGGAGTAGCGGTTTAGGGTTTAGGTTTAGAATAATCTCGATATAATATGTTCCTTATTCCGTGCCAACCCCCAGTAAGAGAAGAGCCAAAATAATTTCCAGTGTCATCTTGAGGTCCATTTGAGGTACTCTATATTATGAGCATAATATTGGGAATTGCTGGGGCTTCTGTAGGAATCGGGTTTTGAGGCTTGGGTGTGTTTACGAGTTTAGGCTTCCGGGATGTTCAGGCGGGGGTTCGCATTCTTTTGTTTTTAGTGCAGTAGGGCTGAGGGTTGTAGAGTTCAGGGTTTTGGCTCCGGGGGATGTCACCAAAACAGCCTCAGTCTTATGTTGTTTGCATCTGAGGCTTATCCTACCACATGACAGGCAACACTGTGACTCTCTAAATGTAACTTTTGAAATCTTGGGCCCATGCGCGGCATTGAAGGCAGCCTGGCACATCTTACTAAGCCATCCCCCTTCTGACTGCAGACTTTTTAGTCCACGTCGGAGCCATCATGCAACAAGCGCTAGAAAGCTGGAGCGCGAAGATGGCTTACAGCAAGCTTATGACGCAACTTCTCTGTGCAGCTTGACTCGCTCGAAGACACTTGACTGCCTTAAAACCCTTATCGTACATAGGGGTTTCCATAAACAGGGATACAACCCATATTACGACTAACGTTACAACCCCTATAATTGTCGCCCATGTAACCCCTGCACAACCCGCCTTTAAGGAGTTTAGACTATAGCTCATATGGATATAGACTTCAACAACAGGCAAGAAAGCGAAGCTAAGCTTCGAGCCCACGCTGCTTGAAGCAAACGAGGCATTGGCAGGCAAGCGTCAAACATGAGCTATAGTCTGAACTCCTTAAGGGGGGGGGGAGTATAAAGAGGATCAATGGGGATTATACAGGGGAGTATGATAGGGGTTATTAACGGGGATACTAGGAGTTTAGACCCTAAACCCTAATAGGTGTTACTAAGGGGGATACCAACAATGTTGGACGCACAGGCCGAGTTGGCAGATTGGAGGCACCTTTGAGGGGCACTCTTAGAAGATCCTTTCTTTCGGAGGGTGGGGCTAATATTCGCATTGGTATCATTAATACAGATTAATACTATGATTGGTGTTAGTAGTATTAGTATTGGGTATTCGGATTAGTATGTATTATTAGTATTATTAAGAGTATTAATATTACCATTGGTATCATTAGTATTAGTATTGGTATTGGTATTAGTATTCGTAAGTATTAGAATTGGTATTAGTATTGGTATTAGTATCAAACTAGTAGTAGTATTATAAGTTCCATAACTTTCCGAAGAACGAACAAGTTCGCAACATCAGAGTCTGCCTCACGCCCCTTCTCGAACTCCAACACATCTACATGCGGCGACGCTTCGGCGCGCATGTGGAGATTGTATCCTCGGAAGCGCAGTTTGAACATGTCAGTATGCATGTGCGAATTATACTGTATGGGGAACTCTAGCAACTAAATCCACTGTTCTGTCCATATCGTGCCTTTCCCAGAAACAAATTTGTTGATTCGGGGTCTCAGATTCCAGTATCCTTATCATGCAATTGCACTGCGTTGGCAACACATGTGGGAAACGTCGACTTGGAGCAATTCCAATCTTCCTGCTGCCGCCGAATTAAGCGCTGAGCCTGCAAAAATGTCCTCGCTGAGGTTCACAACGGCTGAGCCTTTACCTGCCAAGGCTACCACTGCATCTCTGCCCAGCGTGCCTAACCCAAGAGGCACCCTCACTGCAGACCATAAGCGTGGCAGCTGAACTCATTCCACCTCGATTTCGCGCCCAAAAAGCGCAAACAAAATCTGGATGACCGTAGTGCATTCGGATGCCCATACCTCGTGCGCAGGCTTGGTATGCTGGCCTGAAATCCAACATGGTTCCACAACATGAGATCCTTCCCCGCTACACGGTTACACCCGTGGGTGCGACAGGAAATTGGTTTTCAACTGGACTTTGTCTATGCAGGCCAAGGTGAAGTAGCAGACATGGAAGATCTGGAGCTGGAGATAAAAGCTTTAAGGCGGGACCTCACACCTGGCCTCTCATAAGAGCTCTATTTACTCATCACCATATAACAAAAGACGTGCTCCCCTAGGATGCCAACATGGCAAACTATGTCTACCTGCCTGTTTCACATCGGGTGCCCTTCATAACCCTCACCAGGAGTTCGGATGTCTTCATGGTACCCAGTGACGAGACCCACATCTCTACATGAGCTATAGTCAGCTATAGTCTAAACTCCTAGTATCCCCCTTAATAAGCCTTATATAATATACCCCTATATAATTCACTATAAGACCCCTTTAAGGAGTTTAGACTATAGCTCACATGACAATGAAAGCCTCACATCAGTAGGCCAAGGTGCCGCTCAGAAAACGCTGGTAGATGGTCCCGAAGGTCCACTCTGCAGCTGCGTGGCACTTGCCCACCTCGCTTGTGATACGCAGTGATTTGGATTTTGTGCTCAAGGACAGTGACCCGATAAGAATCTTGCTTCTTGTGATACGCGCAAAGAACCTTGTTAAAATCGCATTCCACTCCCCACTACTCACCTGCCGGCCCCCCTGTTCAGTGTTCAGGGATGGGAAGACCAAAACACAAACATGACCTGAAGCATACCGTCAGCAGAAATCCTGAGGTTTGGTAAGTCCCATAACCAGGGGGACCCGTATGTAGACCACAATATATTGTGATCGCTGGTATGGGCACTTCTCAAGAAAACCCTCATTTTGGAAACCTTCATCCAGGCATGCACGGTCATACCAAACTTTATCCATCAGCTCATATCACCAAAGATAGAAGTTGGCAGTTTCTGAAATGTGGCACCGCTAGGCCACTAGGGACCTACTTAAAGGTTATCATAAGATCATGGAGGTTCCTTCGGAATTATGTGGATTGTATAGGAGTAGTTTGAGAAACTCCCAGTGAGTTCATCCCGGCAGATCGCTACCACGACCGGCGCCAACCTGGTTTCGAATACGCCAAAAATCTTCAGGATTTCCTACAACTAGGGGTACCTTGTTGGGGGTCCCCATACTAAAGATTAGTTGGGGTCCCCCATTTACGGAAACCACCGCTTGGGACTCGACTGTGCCCTCTCGGCGCGTGTAGATGTATTCCCGGAATCCCAGGTATCGACACCGGGCAGCCACGCCTGTGCAAGCGAAAAGAAACAACTCTTTAGGGTTTAGGTTTTAGGGTTTAGGCGAAATACTGCAGATGGAGAAACAAGAGATAGGGTTTCGGGAATTTAGAGGTCCTTCTGGATCTCCTCATGATAAGGGTTATAATACATTTGGGTCCATTTTGGGGCTCCCTGTTTATGGGAACTACTAGATGAAGTCAAAACTGTTTCTACCGATAAGCACAAAAGCAGGACACCTCAACAGTCTTTTACCGTCTAGACCCACTCAAAAGGATACCACACAAGGGCCCCCTGCTAACTCTGAAGGAGGCTCGAAAAATTAGCTTGTCGAGAGGATCTCTGCTTGAGATGGCTTTAATAGGAAGGACGAGACACACCGAGGAGCAAGATTACATTGATTACATTTCCATTAGGGTTCCCTGTGCTCTTTATGCAGAACCATGGTTGCCCAACCCCCCCACCCCTGAGAGCAGAAGCAGAATCTGGGCAGCAGACGGTTTTTCTGGCCCAAGGGCAGAAACCGCCGGAGCACGTACGGAATCTGCGCAAGCCGAACTGGTATGGTGTGGCATGGTATGGTGTCATACACATTCTAGGCACTGCCCAAATGCCACTTGCATCTTGTACATGGCATGAGGAAGATCTTTGCGTGACAGTACTCAAAGTCACTCTGGCATGGATGGAGGGAAGAGGCGCTCGGGAGAAGCTGCTTCTGGGTTAGGCTTGAACCCCCTCATATACACTCCCCCAAACCAACACACGCCTCATTCTGAGGACTCAAAGGGATTTCACCCAGGACCAGCTACGGCCTTGAAGGCTTCGCCGATGAAAGCGCCCATGTTGCAGTCCAGGGCCTTGCGGATTCTGGGCAATTACGGACCTACAGCATGGTAGCGAATGGTCCCCTGCAAAACTGAACAAGATCATTCTCCTTTACTAGATGGCTTTTATAGAGAGGCCCTAAGGAAAATTTACAATGGCATGCTCGTCTAGGGAAGAGGTACCGACATCAAGATGAAGTCACCCAAAACAGACTGCCTCAGAGATGCTTTCACAGCTGAGGAGCCTGAATGCGGTGCCCTGCCGCAAACCAGAGCGCGTTCATCTGGTTACAGGCCTGCCAGGCTCAACAAAGGAACGGAAAAACCAAGATGGAATGCCTCGGCTTCTGCTGCACCTTTGCATCTACGTGCCGATCTCGAGAGCTGACATGAACAAAATGAATTGCTGAACCCTACACTGCACGCCACGTTTGAGATTTTCCGAGCAAGCTTTGGTCATCTGCTGCGCCAAGCATGTTGATGAGGATGGCCAAAACACGGATGCCGTATCAGCCCTGAATAGCTGGACTGTATCGCGACCACACAGCTTTTGAGTCTTGTTGGTCACAGCAAGCTTCGTCGGCTCTGTACAGGTGACTCCAAGCAGTTCCACGCCGCATGTTCGTGCGAAGATGTACAGTTTGCATGCCAACCTGCATAACTGCCTCTCATTTCCGTTCACAGTCTGGTCCCGACATGGATGCACTTGGTAGTTTCCCAAAATAAGGAGACCCCAATGTAGACTCCAATATGTTATAATCCTTATTTGGGAAACCCCAACTTGATCAGGCCACCAAGAGATCAACTTCCTCCTCCTCTGTCGCTCCGACGATTTCGGCTGCAGACCTCTTTGGCTCTTTGGAGTCCTTCGGAACAAATCCTGAAGGCTCGCCAAGGCAGTCAAAAAGCCAGGGCTCAACGAGGGCTACAAGCCCCAGTAGTGAGGCTTGGAAGCACCAGA